TGTGCATATTATCACTACCACCACTTTGATACTGTTGAGTGGATTTTTGTAGTTTTATTATACTGTAATATTTTGCATCTTCTTTTGTGTGTGGGCTTTTTTGGTTTGTGTTCTGTTGGGGTTTGGGGTTTTTTTTGTTGTTGTCAGAATTGTGGCTAGGACAGAAATGAAACAGAAATTATTTGTTTTGTTCACAACCCTTAGCCTTTAGGATATTCAAAATACAAAAGTGTAGTCAAAAGACCAGCAAAGCTGTGGAAGATGCAGAGAATGAAGGGGGGCAAAAGGGTTCAAACTATATATTTTTTATTCTTCATTTACTTATTGACAGTATCAAGGGGCTTTTATTTGGAGAAGGTGACAAAGAAGAGTTCAGGCAGTTAGCAGGAGTCAGACTTCAAAATGTCTGCTTGCTTGAACTTCCCTTCTTTAGATTGAATTTGGTTACTCCCATATTCACAGTCCTTCAAAAATGTACCCTCCATATAATGCACAGAAATGTTTTCTTATATATTGCAAGGGCTTTTTTCTCCAAATGCTTTTCTGTTATTGTAGTGTGCTTAGATTACTGTGAAAGAAGAACAGTAGTTAATGAGTTCTTTCTGACAGCTGAATAGTTGTATTAATACTATTACAAAGACAGGTCTCAGTTCACATTCCATTTGACCTGTGAAAATGTTCCAGGGTATTTTTGTCAAGTGCCTGTGGCAATATTTCCCTGTAAATTCGTAAGGCTCATACAGTGACAGTGTAATATGTAATTAATATAGCTAATTGATTTTAAATACCAGATAAGATAAATCAGCACTTCAGTGACTGATGGTTTATGAACAATAGTTTTCCTGCTTTTGGGGTAAATTATCTTGGTAGTGTAGTAAAAGCAGAAATTTTTGATATGATCATTTTGAACAAAACACTACTTTTTCATTGTTGCACACTTTTGCAGGCATGTAAGGACGACCTAATGAAGTCAGCACCTTCTAGATCCTCGGTGTAGGAATAAGAAATACTGAAAATATAAAAGAAAATTATTTGCAAAATTTCCTGAGAATTTTTTTTGGTTGTTCAGACCAGCATCTGAATTTTTTGAGTACTTTCCAAAAGAAAGACTTTCTCAGAATCCTTTAAGAGTTATGCAGATCACCATGGTCCTTTACTTGCATGTCTTATATTCATCCCTATTCTCTGGTCTGTTCTTTTGTCTTTTAGATGATGAATTTTGCTCTGACTCTGTTGTTGCCTGTGTTCATAAATGACATAAATACTCAAGAACAATAACCATCACGGTCAAATTAAATATGAAGTGTTGTGGCTGTTTAATATGGCAGTGGCTGTCATATTGAAATATAGGCCTCCAGAAGGCCTGATTCTTGCTATTAGGGTTGCTTCAATATTTCTAGAGGTGAGCCTTCTGAAACCAGAGAGAAACACGGATGTTCCCGTCACCTGCACACCACCCGCCCCTGGCGTGGGGGCTCTCTAGCAAGGTGGCCCCGCAGGCAGCTAGCCGTAAGGCTGCTGGGTGTCTTACTGTTAGGGAACAGATTTGAATAAGAACAGCAATTATAACATCCTGAATTACACATGGTGACAATTTTGGTTTTTCTTGTATTTCCTTTCCAAGGAAAGAATCAGACCTATTTGTAGGACAGATTGGGAACTTAATGACCGTTGGGGTTTCTGGACATTTCTGTGTAAAAACACTGGCTGTGGAATGTCTCTGACTATGAACCCCCATAGGTTAGCTTGTCTGTTTTGGTGACAGGATAACGGAGCGCCTTTTTCCCCTCCTTCTTGAGGGTTCACGGAGAAACAGCCTCTGTCCATGAGGAAATCAGATACATGTCTTCAGTTAGAACCTTTTCAATACCTCATGGATTTACTTAGTGCAAGTCTGGTTTAACCTTCTGGGTGCCAAATTCCACCTGCACAATGTAATATAATCAGTAAGTGTGTGTGCTCAGAAAGTAAGAAACATGTTTCTGAAATTTAACTTCCCTCTGGTCAGTGTCTGCTTTACTCAGATATGGTAGAATACAATACTTAAAAGAAAATCCGTGAAATTATTTTTTTACGGGTGCAATTTATGTTAAGCCATATATCTGCTATATATCAAAACAGATAGAATCTTAGAATCATAGAATCATTGAATGGTTCGGGTTGGAGGGGCCCTCAAAGACCATCCAGTTCCAACCCCCTGCCATGGGCAGGGCCCCCTTCCACTAGACCAGGTTGCTCCACGCCTCATCCAGCCTGGCCTTGAAGACATCCAGGGATGGGGCATCCACAGCTTCTCTGGGCAACCTGTCCCAGTGCCTCCCCACCCTCTCCGGGAAGAACTTCTTCCTGATGTCCAATCTACACCTCCCCACTTTCCACTTAAACCCGTTACCCCTTGTCCTGTCACTACAGGCCCTTGTAAGAAGTCCCCCCCAGCTTCCTTGTAGCCCCTTCAGGCACTGGAAGGCTGCAATAAGGTCTCCCCGGAGCCTTCTCTTCTCCAGGCTGACCAAGCCCAACTCTCTCAGCCTGTCCCCATGGCAGAGGGGCTCCAGCCCTCGGACCATCTTTGTGCCCTCCTCTGGACTCGCGCCAACCGGTCGATACTTTGCTGATGTTGGGGGCTGCAGAGCTGGATGTAGAACTCCAGGTGGGGTCTCATGAGAGCAAGTAGAGCAGGAGAATCCCCTCCCTCGACCTGCTGGCCACGCTTCTCCTGACACAGGCCAGATATCAATATGTTTAATGTGTGGGCTTTTAAGACTGTGCATAATCAAAGACTAAATTAGCAGAGTATAGCTAGTGTACGTTTTACTGTCAGTTTTAATCTTCTTGGAGGCATACAGCTGTCTTCTGCCACAAATGACATATTCCCTCTTCTCCTAGTTCACTGCTGAGGGGTGATTGCCTCTGCTCAGATTCTATTTTTATTTGACCCGAAGCCAATTGCGTGTATTCTCTCAGGCAAAACTGGACCTGGCACGACTTCTCTTCTTTAAAGCTGCCCTGCTGAAATGATTGATATTTGCCAGGGACTGTCGTACTGAAAATTAAAACCTGTTCCTGCTTTATTTTTATATTGGTTTCTCAAATTTAGTGTTGGATTCTAAACTAGACATTTTTATCATTTGAAAATGAAAGCAAATGAATGCTAGAGTCTGCCTTGCAGGCTAGGAGAAATCTCAGCTTGTTCTTTGGAGATGTCCTTGCTCGCAGAGAAAGTCCAGTGTCTTTGATATAACTGCTGTAAAATATCTAGGTCTTTCTGTGATTTTCCCACTCTAAGCTTTGGTTTTCAAACCGATCAAAAATAGAACAGAGGATGAAAGCCTATCAGCCAAACCAGCGCTTCATAGTTTTGAGTGTGACTGTAAGAAGCCGTTAGCTCAGGAAGCCTTGCTGGTCCAGCCCTTCCGATACCCCTTGAGCAGCAGAAATGCTAAAACTGGAGACACTTCTTTTGATTTTTGTCTTAGTTCTGCCCTTCCAAACAGCCTGAGGTTTTCTTTCCCATTAAAACCGATGTAGGACACAACCCAGCTAACGTGACGACGAGACCAGTTGAGCTGAGTACACAGGCTCGGAGGGTGCAGTCAGGGTAGCACTAGCTAATGGTTAAAGTTGTGCTCCGCGTTGAAACGCTCCTTCAGTGAAGACACGCCCTAGGAGGAAGACGTCAGAGAGTGTAGGAAGCTTACTAGGGCAGAGACTAATATGAATGAAATTAAGTGGAAGGAAAATGTAAGCTGTCACACCTCTGAGCTTGAGCTCTAACACTCTGAAAAACAGATTTCCAATAGAAATAGCAGAAGTAATGTATGTAAAATGTAAGACTGCATAAATAGCTTGTTAATTGATGGTCTTTGCACAGTATGTGTCTTTACAGTATAAATACTACAAGTAATGTTCCTGCATGGGTTGCATGTGTAGGTGATTGCTGCATCCAAACTCATAACACTGTGCTCTTCCAAGCCAAAGCTGCGCTCAATCTGTTTCCCATGCAGGGAGAGTGGCTCTTAGCAGCCATTCTAACGCTGCGCCAAGTCTGCTGTTAATAACTGGTATTTGCATCAGTTGCAACGTTATTGCCCTGTAGTCCATTAGATTAAAATGACATTTCTTGTAAAAGACACTGTATAAATGAATTTTGTCTTGTCCTTTCCAATGGGTGCTTTCTGATTGTTGTGTGTAAGAAATAAATCGGCATCGATAGAAAATGGCTTTTGGGAAGCAAGATTTGATATAGTGATTGGAGGTTTTGTTAGTGATGGCTGAATTGTAATTATAGTTTAAGTTGTTTCCCATTAAAATTAGTAGCAATACAATCACCAAATGTGCTTGCAGATTACCGTATGTTGTGCCTGAAAATCGTTGACTTCACAGGTGCATTACTTACTTTTACCACCAAAGAATGTGTATATGCTATCAAAAGTAAAATTCCAGCATTTTAAGAACTTATTTAGACATTTCTAAGCATGGATCCATGGTTATGCAAATAGGATAATTATTACTTTTTTCAGTACACTTTAAGTGAAATCATAATGTAAATTAATGTACTAAAGTATATTTTGTGTTCTGTGTATTTAATAATTGCTATAAACATTTATGTCATAAGTGTGTTCATTGTTGCATGCACACCAAAACCTCCTCTGCTTTACAAATGTCGCACCTGCTTCTCTCGCCTCCTTTCCACCACCACCCCTAACCCTACCATAGTAGGAGAAATTTGAATTCCGTGTACATAGAAGAACAAGAAAGATTACTGTGCTTGATGTGCCCTTTCTATATTATTGTTTTAAAGCAGAAATTTTTACAGCGTACACAACACAGAATGCATTTTTAAAGGAGATATTCTTTGCACATTATATCTTTGGAGCAATAACAAATTGTATCTTACAAGCTCCTGAACAACCTTTCTCTTTTTTATAAGATATACTGTTAGGGAAGGAAGTATTTTATATTTATAGGCTGGCTGTTTACTAAACATTATTCTTTTTAAGTCCTAGGCCACCAATTCCTCTGTCTCTCCTTCTATCAGAAGAAGAAGCAAGCATAGTAATTCAGTCCTTCTGGAGAGGTTATCGGGTGAGAGTAATCTATAATTGTTTTGCTTGATGCTGAAAACCGTGGGACTGTGAAGGCCCCAGGGAAAATCCTTACATAAATTTGAAGTAGGGGATACTATAAATAGCTGCTGAGACCCCCATGGTTCATTGGCTTTGGATGTTTCTCTGCCTTATGCCTAGTGACTACAATTTTTTCAGAGGCATTTACGCTGATGTAATCTCCCTGTTTTCCTCAACAACAGAAGATCTGCAAAAATTCAATTTTCAAAAGTACAATTAACACTGAACAGTTTTCAGGTTTTTTAGTTGATCTTTGGCTGGTTGCCAAGGGATGAATTGTTATTTTGCTTATTCCAGGGATATGTGAATGGGTGTGGAGGTGCACAAGGAGGATTGGTGAGGTCTGTTAAGAAATAAAAGCATACAGAGACAAAGGACAAGAAATTGAGGTCGCGAACAAGACAGGAGATGTAGGAGAGGCATGAAAGCTGTTGTTTAAGGAAAGGGAAAAATGGCAAGCAGATGTTGCAAGCCCTGCTACTCATACAACACTAATGCAATCCCTAATTTAAGGGGAAAAAGCAAGGCACATAAAATAAATACAAAGAAACTTGGCTACTGCTATTCTTTTGGAGGGTAACAGCCGTGCTGGCCCCAGGTATGAAATAAATTACCTTGAAAATCCTGAACTGATTCTGTCAAATATTTCTTTGAAAGGCTATAACACCTTCATACCTTGGAAAGAAGTGGGCTTGAAATTCAGGTGACTTTGGTGACAAAGAAACGTCTTTGACTGTCTTTATCAAAATTCAAGCCTCTAAATAGCCTGCAGATATAGCAGTGATTTCATTGTGCTGAGCAGTGAGACATGTCTGTCTGTACTTCGGGTGTTCTTAGGTAACAGTCGGTATCAAGCACTCTCTGTTGAGCAATTCCTTACTGCCTTCAACAAGCATGAGTATGTGAGTGGCTGCTGTAATGTGCCGGCCAGCCCAAGATGATTAAATACCTTGAAATTATCTTCTTGACTGATAGATTTTTGTGATGCTTTCTGCTTGTTCGTTTTCCTTTATTTTTCTTGTTTTAAACAGAGATGGCGCTGACATTAACATTAATTAGCACTGACAGTATCACTGCAGGCGTCCTTACAGTGAGTGGTGTATTGCAAAGGCAACCATTACCCAGTGACAGTTATGTTTGCTGAACAGCGTAAGGTTGCTCAGATACCTTGTGCTTCTACCAAAGCTTCTGAAAGGCACTGTCCTTCATCACTGTGTGTACTAGCTTTAAAATGTTCACAGTAGTATTTGCTGTTCTCAGCCTGTTCCCAGAAATGTGAGAGTAGCCGTAGCTGTAAAAAGAAAGAGACATCAAAAATAACTCAGACTATAAAATTAGCTGTTATGTGTTTTAGCTTATTCGAGCTGAAAGAACTTGAGGTTTTAAAAATTAAAATTTAAATTAAAATCAGAATATAAAATAAAATCGTTACTAACAAGTTACTACATAAGGCAATGTGTATCCTTCGGCTTGTAAATTAAGAGAACTCCAAGCTTAGAAGGGATTTTGTTGCATTAACGATAAAGTATATTATGAAAATTTACCACAAAATTCAGATAATTTGCTTTTAAAATAAATAGCACTGTTAGCTAACACTGATCTACTGTGGTAATAACTGAACACTTACGAATAATGCCTTTTTGCATCCTAAGAATATTATTATATCAGTATTTTAAACTCTTTTCTGATGTTTTTCATTAAACCTTGTTTTATAATTCACAAAACTTAAAACTTTTAAACACTGTCATTGAAATAAAAATTTACACATTGTGATAACATCGAATAATTAAAGACAAGCACACGCATGTATTGTACATGCACTGAGCTAAAGGAATAAGGGACATAAGATCACATGCCATAGGTACTTGTTTGAAAGATGGATGGAGAAGGATTCTGGGCGCACTGTTGGATTTCAGAAAAAGTAAAAGAATCCGAAATCTGGGCAAGATAGTTTTGTCTTTAACAATGCTATCCCAAATGTGAAACTTGTAAGTTTTTTATTCTTAAACAATGTCACCTAAAGTGTGAGAAAACACATTACGTTAGATTTTCTCAGACATCTTCTATGGACTCAGGCAATTTTAGAGTTGTTTCATTAACCATATTGATCGAGGCAGAAGTCCATCTAGTTATATAACCAACCGAGCATTGTGCCTTCTCACGGTACTTCACTTGTTTCTGCCCCGTCTAGCCGTCTGAGTTGTCAAAACCACACAGCACTCAGCAAAAATGGATCAGGCAGTAAAGATTCTTCTATGTAAAGGGAAAAAAAAAGCTATAGGTACAGAATATAGAGAACTTCTTGCTAATAAATCATCAACAAAGCAGTACATTCATCCTTATCTGAAGCAAATTTCAGAAAAATACTTACTTGGGTAGTAGTAATGAGTGGCTGCCATCAACGAAGTCCTTGCTGCAGTCTTCCGTAGAGAGACGTTGATGAGTACTCTGTAAAGTGTTTCAAGTTTAATCAAGAAATGAATTCCAGAACAAACAGCAGTGGAAGCTACAACTGCTGAGTACCCTAAGGAGATCCGAAAGGAAGATTCTGGTCTCTTTGAAGGCAAGGAGGAGCAAATAAGGCTTGAGACAGCTCTGTCATCAGAAGTTTTTCTTTTCCCTTCTCACCATCCTCTTCCACTGAGGTCCCATTCATCTGTTGTGAGCTGAGGCGGTATTCCATGTCTGATGGAAACCCCTGATTGATAGGTATCAAATTTCCAGGCACTTTTCCAATAAAAGAAGAAACATTCTTTCACACCTCTACTGCAGAATCTGTGCTTAGCGCTATTTGTTTTATGGGGTGTTTTTAATTTTTACAATTTACCTAACTATTCTAGACAGAGGAGATTTTATTAATGAAAAATCTCCTCTAATGTCTCTGGTCAAAGCTTCATTGTTGTCCTTCCACTGTTGTGCAACATGTTCCCACCTAGCATTGAAAGCAGTTTATTTTTACTAAATCTTGTAATACCATGGAGTTCAAATTGGATGGCATTAAGTAAATATTCAGTGCCTTTTTATACAGAAATATTGTTTGAGCAAAAGTTAAATCACAATTGAAGCCGGTTTATCTTCGTATCTCACGAGGTGTTGCGTTCTTGCTGTCGTGATTTCTGTTTGTCTCCAGCAAGCCTGGCTGGACACACAATATTCCCTGTTCTTTTGATTTCTCTTTGTCTCCAGCAAGCCTGGCTGCTAGCAAAGGCTCAAGCCTGGAAGGACACACAATATTCCCTGTTCTTTACAGAAAATGTAGATTCAGCCAAGGGACTTGGGTAAGGGAACTCTGACCTCAAAGTGAGACTCTTGCAGTGCCTCATGCCCGGCTGCTCTGCAGGAGATACGCACCGGTTGTGTGTATCACAACAGCCTCTCGGCCCTGTGATTGTTTGCCTGGAGATTTTGCTGCCAAGTCGTGGCTTTTAATCGTGGTAGAATTGCACTCTGCAAAATACAGCCTGCTTTCTGAGAAATCACCACAACTATGCTACATTATAATCTATTAAGCGTATTTGGAACATGTTGATAGTATTTTGCTATGTTCCTGTTGCCTGTTTTATTGCAGGTGAGGTAGCTGTGTTCCTTTTCCTTTCTTTTTTACTTTCCTAAGAGTAACCACTTTGGGAGCTCATGTTCACTGCTCGGATTTAATGTTGGGCTTTGGAGTGGTTGAGTCTGTCTGACTGTGCCTTTCTCTCACAGCCCTGTGTTTAGCTATGTATTTCACTATACTTCCACTGTTTTATTCCATATAACTCCTGTAGAAGATAATGCACAACCATATTAGTACAACCGGATATTATTAGAGGCCTAAGAGTTATCTGATGCCAAGTCACTGAGTAAAAGTCTTGCCTGTCTTTATTGATCATGTAAGCCTGTATTGTATTTCTGCTCTGGCAGTGCATTACCTGAAATACAGCAAGTTGTCTTCTCCTGAGTGGATTGAAAAGTCCTGTGGGAGTTCAGCTACTGTCTATTGCATTCTTAGCTGCACCGCAAAGGAGAAATTCTGGGTGGAAAGAATACTTTTGATAAATAATTTTTATTTTTTTTTTTAAACTAGTGGAAAATTAAGTCCTGCTCTTTTGCTCTGTATGTATCTCAGGGAGGTGGGAGAAAACCTGAGTGTAATGGAGTAATAGAGTTCAGATCATGTAAGAATAAAACAAACATAAGAAATTTTCTAGAAAACATAAGTAGTCAGCTTCCTGAAACAAAAAATGTGCCAGGAGAAACCGAGCTCAAGGTTTCTACCCTGTTACTCAACTTCAGCCTGAATTACTAGGACATTAAGTCCTAAAACATAATGGCATTTTATATTTGTAACATTTAGCAAAAACCAGAAACTGCATTTTTAACAATTCTATTATAATTTGAGTACAACTCTAAGAGAATAATCACTTACTAATGTTTAAGCCATTCTAGTGTGTCCCCACTATTGTCAGAAGGACAGTGTCTAATCTGGATTTTTGTTCTAGCACTGGAGGTAGTAATTGTGCGAATGTCAAGGTAGACAACTGGCAACATACTGCTAATTAATCAAATCCTGCTTAGAAAAGGTTTAAGTAGCAGAGTGGTAAAAGCTGTTAGTGCAAAACTAGCTCTTGTATTAGTAGGATCTACACCAGTAAAAAAGCAATAATAGAAAAATTCAACTTAAATCTTAAAAGGAGTCAAGGCCTGTAACTATTGTCATTTTATATGGAAGCAGAATTATGCTGTTCATAGTGGTGATTGACTGACAAAGAATAAATATCATGTAATGCATTCCAATTACCTTAAATTACAGATTAATGGCTCTCCTGTTTGTCAGGATTGCATGGCTGGGATTGTCAGTAAGCCTATTTGCAGCTGGTAGCAGGTGTGAATCGGTTTGCTGGAATAAATTTCCTGCTGTATGACCGACCCTTCATGCTCCTCTTCTGCTCTATTATGTTGGTCGATGGGTTGGTTTTATAGTGTTGTGGTTTTCCAAGGGTACTAATACCATTTAGTGTAATGCTTTAAATTTTAATTAACTCAAAGAATAAGCCTCTCACTGCAGTCACATTCTCAGGAGTCCTTAGTAATCAAAATGATCCCCTAATTGGCATATTTATGTTTTCAGTGGGGTTTGTCAATTAAGTGGTTTTTATTTCTGTATAATTTGAAAGCTGTAAACCTCTGGGATTGTGCTCTTACATCAGGCCCAGCAAAAAGGATGGATGTGATGTTTTTGCCCAGCCACAGCCTGCAAAAAAAATTGTCTCATGATCTTGGGTATTACGAAAGTGTATAATTTTACTTCCATTTTCTGTTTTTCCTTTTCCAGGTCCGCTGTGACAGTGAAATACAAGAGCTACGTCTTTGGCAAAAGCAGTTGAGAGAGGACAAAAACATTGTTACAAGAGTGAAAGAATTCTGGACCAAGCAGGAAGCCAAAGGTAGGTGAATGAAATTACATATTTGAATTACTTTTCTTTTTACATTAAGTGTTTAATTTTTATATTTCAAGTTGCAGTAAGAAATAAGGGACACAGTAAAACACGATTCACAAGTGAGAAGACAAAGCAATGTCTGTTGGAAATGCCTCTAGTTGGGTCAAACTGGGAGCTGCTAAAAAGGTTGATCCCACTCTGTAGCTCTTGCATCAGTCTTGGTGATTGTGTAACTGCACCTGGGTTTGGGTCAGTGAAGGGTTTGGGTCAGTGAAGGGTTTTGGTGCGGGGCAGGTTAGTTTTCCACAAGACTGTTGCCAGGTGATTACTGTATCTAACACAAAGAAGAAAACGCACTGGGGAGAGGAGGGAATGGCCTTCAGCAGCACACAGCTTGGTTAAAGCGGGCAGATTACGAGATGGTATTCTAATACCTGCTTACTGCTCGTGGCTGAGGAAGTGCCAGTCTCCAGGTGATTGGCAGTTAAAAGCCAGGGGCTGGTTATGGCTGAGACATCTTCAGCTCAGTACCCAAAAGCACATCTGTCGATGCCCTCACTGCGAGCCTGGTTTCACGGGACTTCGCTGGGAAAGGCTTACATTGGAATCACTGCAGGGTGAGAATGTTTAGAATCAGGTCTCTGTGAGAGGTTTTTAAATGCTGAGTCCTGGTCAGTTAGATACCTGCTATCCAGAAAAAAACTACAACTCTGGATTTCAAGTGACAGAAAATTGCTGAGGTACAATCTGGAATTAGGCAGCTTAATGGGAGGGTGCTCTCCACTCTGTTGCCTAATGAGCTAGGCAGCTTTTCACTCCACATCGAATATTCGTGGGTCATCATTTGGAGCTCTTACTCTGCTGCCTCTATAAACCATGCCATTGTTTCGTTGGTTCACCTTCAGGTGCCCAGTTCCTACGTGTTTAAAGTCTTAGGCTGAGACATTGAATATGTCCTGCTGGATCTTCACACATGTTTTTTCTTTCCTTATTTTCTAGGCACCTTAACTTTGTTTTTAATTAAATGGAGTTGTTGTATTCATCCACAGCTATGACATAGGATATTCTGAAATTGTTTGACATCCTCGCAGTATGCTTTATTTTAGAAACCGCAGTAAGAATGTCCATACATAAAGAATGCTCATTAACATCAGTGCTGTAATAACCAGAACATGTTGTAAGTGAATAGGGCCTTGCAATTCTTCAGTAACTCCAGTTATCACACCTTTTAGGGCTGTTGCTCATTCCAGAACTGTCCTGTGCACTGTAGATGTTGGGAATTAACAGCAGTCAGGTCATTAACCTGATGCGCTGCAATTATTCTTTACTTTTTATTGTGCAACCGTATCAGGAGTTACAAGTAGATCAGGCTAAAAGGATGGCATGGAAGTTCCACACATTTCCCTTTCTGCTTGCAGTCATCTTTGGAAATTTTTGCCTAAAGGTGAAAGGAGTTTCGCCTTTCCCACACGTGAAAGGAGAAAACTGTTACTAGTAACAATCATTTTAATGCCTGCAGTTACAAAATAGCCCCTTTTTTCAGTTTTCCTTATTTTTTTTTCTTCACACAAATAAATGTAATAAGCACTTGGGGCTAATAACAACATCTTAAACAAATGCTAGAGTCTTTCTTGTGTAAAATCCCAACACTTCCGGGTGGGCTACTTTTTATGATACCAGGAAACACAAAAATATGTATGGATAAGTTGTTCATGTTTTCAAGCCCCCCCCACCCCGTTCATGTTTCCAAGCCCCCCCCGCCCCCCACCCCCCCCACCGGCAAACCTTTGATTCTAAATGTCTTTTCTTTTATTTCTTGTTTATACTTGCAAATCTGTGGGATAGCATTAGTTTTTAGGTTATCTAGTCAGGGTAATGTTGCAATCATACTGTGTTTGCTGGCCAGCCTTCTGAAGTGTATGCAGAATTAGTTAATTCTGCAATCAGAACTGGGTAAGTAGATATTTCCACTGGGTATTTTATAATGAACAGTGTTCAGTAGTTATAGTATAGCTCTTTCCGATGAATATCTTAATGCGTAGTGCTCTTGTAACAGAATTTCTCCTCTATTGTGTGAAGTGGGACAGATTTAGACCCACTCTCACACGAGGGCTGTGCATTAAACTGCAGGCAGTACTGCGAGCAAACGTTTGAAATTGTTTTCTGAAGTAATCCACGTTCTGTCACATAACGTGAAGTCAATCAATGGCAACTCTCATGCTGTAGGACAGCGGTCACTGTTGGAAAGCTGCTGCCTTTGTGTGCCTCCTCCTTTAATCCCCTGCAGTGCTCACCTGCCAGTCACCTGCACAAGCTGGTACCACGGGGAGATCTGGTGTTTGCAACTGAGAGAATCACGTTCAAGTACTGCATCCACCGTTCCCCGGGGCCTGGCCACCCTCGGCAACTCCGCCTGGCTTACCTGCGCCAGACAAGCTCCCGCACAGAGGGAGGTCTGTCTCCAGCCTTGCCCTTCTCCCTGTGATGAGAGATGGTGGCTGCAGCAGCAGCTACTGGACAGTTTTGTGTTTTGCACGTTTGCAAGTGCAAAGAAAAGCATTTTCCTGCTGGAGGTACTTTTCCTGCCCAAACAGCCATTCTTTGTGATCTCCAGGGAGATGTGTGAGCTGGACTGAAGCTCCTGCTGGCTGGCTCCAGCTGCATCGTTCTGTTTAACAGAATGTGCCCAGTAAAATCTGTAATACTGCAAGATTTATACTATATGTGCTACACCCTGAGTTCATTAGAAAATAGCCAGTGAAGAAATCTACTTTTCCAGTTCTGATCACAGAATTAGTTGG